GATGATGTGGGGTCCTTGATGCTCTCTGAGCTTGGTGGTTTTCTTATAGACATTTTGTGACCCAGCTAGGTAATGTTATCATTACTAGAAGGGAGCGGGGTTTGCAGAAAGGAGGAGGAGAGGAGGAGGAAGAGGAAGAGGAGCAGGAGGAGGAGGACTATCGTGGATGCTCTCTGAGCTTGGTAGGTTTCTTGCAGACATTTCATGACCCAACTAGGTAACGTCATCAGTGTTATACTGTCTGGGGAATTCTGGGAGTTTAAATCCACAAAAAGTTACAAAAGTGTGGAGATCCCTGGTTGTGAACTTTGAACCCTAGGGCTGGAAGGGACCTCAGAGGTCATCTAGCCCAGCCCCCTTTCAAGGCTGGAGACCTTAAACCACCCCGGTTCGTAGCGCAGAGCCCTCCCTTCTCCCGTGTGTTTGTGTGTGTGTGTGTGTGTGTGTGTTTCAATTTGGAGTCTGCAAAACGGCCTTCCCAGCAGGGGAGGGGCAGACCCCGCCCGCTCCCACCGCCAGAGTGTCCTGGACCTCAGGAACACAGCGTATCGCTCTGCGCTTGGCATTGCTGGACTCGCCCTTCGTCACGTCCTTCGTCAGAGCCGTTTGGAGGACAAAGAATTCTTTTGGGGGGGCATGATGTTAGCGGAAGAAAAGCAACTCCTGGCTATCTCCTTTGGCCACAAGGAATTCGGCCCCCCCAGGGCCGAGGCCTTGAACCCCCCCCCCCTTGGCTTCCTGCAGGGAGAAACGCTTTGGCTCCGAGAGGGAGGCTGGGAACGGCTCCTGTCAGGCGAGCTGGCTGTGCAAAAGAACCACCAGGCAGTCCCTGACTTACGACGGCCACTGGGCGCCCCCCCCCACCCAAAGGTCTGTGTCCAAGCAGGACGGTTAAGTGAGTTTTGTCCCGTTTTAGGAGCTTTCTTGCCGCTGGGGCTAAGTGAATCGCAGCAGTCGTTAAGTGGGCCACACGGTTGTTGAGTGAATCTGGCTTCCCCGAAGGTCGCCAAAGGGGATCACGTGACTTCCGGACACTGCAACCGTCATAAGTATGAGTCAGTTGCCAAGCACCTGAATTTTGATCAGGTGACAGTGGGGATGTTGCAACAGTGTGGAAAACGGTCATAAGTCGGGGTTTTCAGTGCTCTTGTAGCTTCAAGGAGAGGAGGACGAAGGAAGGAAGGAAGGAGAGGAGAGGAGGAAGGGGGGAGAGGAGGAAGGAAGGAAGAAAGTAAGGAAGGAAGGAAGGAAGGAAGGAGAGGAGGAAGGAAGGAAGGAGAGGAGGAAGCAAGGAAGGAGAGGAGGAAGGAAGGAAGGAAGGAAGGAAGAAAGTTAGGAAGGAAGGAAGGAAGGAGAGGAGGAAGCAAGGAAGAAAGTTAGGAAGGAAGGAAGGAAGGAAGGAGAGGAGGAAGGATGGAAGGAAGGAAGGAAAGAGAGGATGATCAGCTGTGCCGGGATCCCCCTCGCTGTCTTACTGCTTCCCCCAGGAGGCCCCCCCTGTGCCCCCCTCCTGTGCTCTGTTTTTTGCCTTCCTGGGCCCCAGGGAAGCTCCCTGGGAGAAAAAACGCCCCCCCACCCCAGGAGGCTTCCCTGAGGCCCAGGAGGCCCCCCCAAAATGCCAAAGGGGTGCTAGAAATAAAAAAAAAACTGCCCACAGTTTTTAAAAACTTGGGATCCTGCCCCTGCGGTAATTCCTCTTCTCCTCTCGGGGGCCTCTGGGTTCCCGGGTGAGGGAGGGAAACCAACCCCTAGCATCCAAGACAGGACGGGGGAGGTTGGCTGGGGGGGATTCTGGGCCTTGAAGCCCCCCCAGTCATAAAGGGGGACCCCTTGTGTTTCAGAGGGTCCGGGGTGAGGTGCGGACGGTCCGCCCCCGAAAGGGATTTTCAGAAATAAGCGGGACAACTATTTGACCGGGACGGCTGTAAGGTCTTCTGCCTTGAGCAGGGGGTTGGACTAGATGACCCCACAGGGTCCCTTCCAACCCCGTGATTCTATGATTCAATTTAGGCAAAAAAAATCACGCCCCCCTCCCTCCTTTTAACTCGGCCTGCAACTCCCAGAGGAGAAGCCGTAAATGCAATAAACCCAGGAATGGTATAAAATAAACATGGCGGCTGTTTGGCATCGGGGTGCGTGTGTGTGTGTGTGTGTGGCTCAGCCTGATGTGTGAATTCGGTGCTTTGGCTCGCGCAACAAGCTAGAGCCAAATCCAGCCTCCGGAGCCCCCACCTCTTGTGCCCCCCAAGTGCCTCCATGGGCAAAGGGACTCGCTCTGCTGGCTTATTGAATGATTGATCGATTGATTGGATTATTTTTACAAATCACTCGAGGTTGGCAAACAACCGGCACTGCTTCCTCCTCCTATTTTCCCCACAACAACAACCCTGTGAAGTGGGCTGGCCTGAGAGGGAGAGAGAGAGAGACAGAGAGACAGACAGACTGGCCCAAAGTCACCCAGCTGGCTATCATGCCTAAGGCAGGACTAGAACTCGCCGCCTCCTGCCTTCTCATCGGGGAGGGGGGGGAAACACGATGACTTTAACTACAAAAGCGAACTGGCTCTCAATTGGGCAGCCTGTGACTTTGCCAAGCTAGCTCAGAGCAAGGTCCCTCCTTCGTGTGCCGGAGAACCGGGGGGTTGGGGGGGACATCCAACCGTTCCCCAGCCGAAGAGAGATGTTGGGGACCCCCTATTGCAGTGCTGGCTGCCCCATCTCTTTCTTGGAAACCTCCAGGGATGGAGCCCCCCCCCACACCCTCTGGTGGCAAGCGGTTCCCCTGGTGAATTAACAGAATAACTGAGTTGGAAGGGACCTTGGAGGTCTTCTAGTCCAACCCCCTGGCCCATCTCTCCTTGGAAACCTCCAGGGATGGAGCCCCCGCCCCCACTTCTGGAGACAAAACTCTCCCGCTGGTTAATTCTCGTCTTAAGGAGGAGCTTCGTCCCTGGAGGCTTTCACTACTATGTGTCAGAAATGGCGTGGGGGGGTGGGTTCCTCCTGCTTGGGCGTGGGGTTGGGCTAGATGACCTCCAAGGCCCCTCCCGGCTCTGTTCTGAATGAATTAAAGTGGTGGGAGCTTCACCCCTGGAGGCTTTCGAGAAGAGACTGGACTGCCCTCGGTCAACCATGGTGGAGGGTCTCCTGCTTTTGGGGAGGGGGGGAGGGTTGGACTAGATGACCTCCAAGGTCCCTTCCAAGTCTATTCATCCCTCTGTCCGCGTTCTCACGGACCAAAGGGGAGTTTCGGAGTTTGGAAAGCGGATGAAAGCAGCGTTCAAAGGACTCGGCTTTGGGGTGCGGCTGCTCTTCTTCCTCAACCCCCCCCCCAAATAGAAGGGGCGCCAGCAGGAGCAGCTCCCGCGAGCGAGGCGGCGCCCCCCAACCCAGATCGGAGGCTGTGAAGAGGCCGCGGGAGCCGCGTTTTCCGTGGGAGGCCAAGCGTCCTCCTTGCTCTCCCTCCCCCCCGTTGGCCTTGGCCCGGTGGGAACACCCAGCCCACCCCCGGATGCGGGGCTCCCTACGTACCAACCCCCCCCCCCCGTCCTCCTCCTCCTCTTCCCGGCTTGCGTGCCCCGCTATCGGGCGAGGAGATAAGGACCAAGGCCTCCTCCTCCTCCTCCTCCTACTCGGAGGAAGCGAGGCGGCAGCGCCGTCCTTCCTCCCGACGTGCGGCGATGTTCCCCACTGTCCTTGCCAGGCGAGGGAAGGTGGGCTCGGGGCCGGGCCGGCCTCCCCCTCCGCGGCTGCTGACTCAGTTGCCCCGGGCGGAAGGTAGCAGGAGGTCAGCGCAGGCGAGAAAGAAAGGAACGAGGGAATGACCGCAGGGGAAGGGGCCTCCGAGGTCATCTAGCCCAGCCCCCCTCTCTATACACCCTTGCCATCTTTTCCTCAAACACCTCCGGGGATGGAGCCCCCCCCCCCCACAACTTCTGGTGGCAAGTAGTTCCACTGGTTGGTTGTCCTCACTGTGAAGAAGTTTCTCCTCCGTTTCCAGGCTGGGCCTTTCTTGAAGGAGAGGAGAGGGAAGGAAAGAGGAAGGCTGGATGTCCTCTCTGAGCCCCATCTCACAGCCTTCCCTCTTCCTTGGACTGGGGAGGGGAGGGGGACCCTGCCTGCCCTCCCCTCCCCCACATGCCCCCTCTGCTTTAGCTCTGGCCGTCTTCCATGCGCCGCCAGTGGCTTCCTTCCCAGGGCAGCGTAAAGACGCCACTCCCCCCCCCACCAGCGGAGGAGGGGGGTCCCCGTTCTCCGGGCAACGTGAGGGAGGCTCCCCAGCCAGTTTGGAGGGGCCACCGTGGGGGCTGCCCATCTCTGCATAGGGCCCCTCGCCCCTTGGCTGCCCCCTCCCCTGGACACTCAGCGGCTCTGAGATGAGAGGCTGGGCCTCCCTGGGGTGGGGGGGGTCAGGAGCAGCCTTTTCCCCCCAAAGGTAATGGGGAGACCCCTTTGCGCCGGGCAGGCAACCCTTAAACACTCCCAAGAGCCATTTGCACCCAAAAAAACCCCACCATGAGCCACAAAACCTGGGCGGGCACGGCCAACTCCTTGTCACTCATTCTCACCAATAAGGGCCGGAAGAAGCTCCAGCAAGAGGGAGGGGCCCAATAATCAGCCCCGCCCACTTCTCCATTGCGGCCCTTACCTTCTCAGGCCAGGTGAGGGAGTGGGAGGGGCGGGGCCAGCCACTGACAGGACAGGGAACCGCAGTGGAAGGCCCAAAGAGCCACATGGGGCTCTGGAGCCACGGGTTGCCGACTCCTGCATTAGGGCTGACGGGGTGAGCTGCAGAGGTGGCGTTCAGACGGTTCTGACCAGTTCTGGAGAACCGGTAGTGGACATTTTGAGTAGTTGGGAGAACTGGCAAATCCCACCCCGGACTGCCCCCCCCCATCTATTCTCTGCCTCCCAAATCCCAGTTGATCGGTTGGGTCTCCTTGGGTTGGCCCGCAGAGGAGAACAGAGCTGGAAAGCAGGTTAGTGGGGTGGGGAGGGAAGGGGGATTGGGCAGTATATCCTTCCCCTGCCACGCCCACCAAGCCACGCCCAACAGAACCGGTAGTAACAAAATTTGAACCCCACCACTGGTACCAGCTGGGCCGCTGCAGCCCTTGGCTCTTCCGTCGGGCTTGGCAAAAGGGGGGCTGACACCCCAAAGCTGTGTGCCAGAGGTGTTGGCCACATCTCCGTGGCCGCAGGGTCTGAGTTTCCACCGCTCTGGCGTGTGTGCAGGTGTGTTTTCGAGTTTGGGCATTCAGTGCCGAAAAAGGGTCGCCATCACTGCCCTAAAGCAACTGATCGGGCACTTCAGCCTGCGACCCAGTTTGGTGGCGGTGTGTGTGTGCGTGTGTGTGTGTGAGGATGACAACATCCTGTTTTGGTCCCCCACATTACAAAAAAGATGTTGAGACTTTGGGAAAAGTGCGAAGGGGAGCAACTAAGAGGATCAAAGGCCTGTTCTGACCCAAACCTCCTTCCAAGGAAGCAAACGCCAAACAGAGATAAAAGCAAAACCTTTTAAGGCTTCTCTGCAAATCCCGCGAATACACGGTTCAAAGGCTGTTTCGAACTCATCATCTCTGATAAGAGCGAGCCTGGCCAAGTTGGTGCAAGGCTGCCAAGAACACTTGACAAAGTTGCCAAGAACTATTTCAAACACACAAAAAGTCTCCAAACGCAAACTAAGTCCGAACGTCCACAAGACTTGAGTGCAAAAACTTCTTTGCTTCCTGCAAAGAACTCCCGATTCTCAGCTGGCTTTTATCTCTTAAGGGAGGGGCCATGACCTTGCAGCCTTACTCCCGAGTCGCCCAGGCTGCTGCAGCTGCTCTTTCCTTCGAGCAGCCCTGTGTGCATGCGCACAGGCTCCTCGGGATCCTCTTCCTCATTGCTGCCAGCCCCCACAAGCTCTGAAGGCAGCACTCCACCCCCTGAGGGTCCTGGCCCCATCCCTGCCTCACAGGCAGGCCCCTCACCTGAGTCCTCGCCCTACGAGGCCTCAGCCGTCCTCACCTGCTGCCGGCGAACCACAACAAGGTCTGGAGAGCAAAACATACGAAAAACAGCTGCAGGATTTGGGTTTGGCCAGTCCAGAGGAAAGAAGGACTGGTGGAGGGGGGGGCAGGACAGGCGTGTTCCAGTATCTGGGGTGGGGGCTGCCCCAAAGAAGAGGGTGGGGCAAGCGATTCTCCAAGGCACCCGAAGGCCAGACAAGGAAGAATGGATGGAAACTGACCCAGGAGACATTCAACCTGGAACTAAGGAGGAATTTCCTAACAGGGAGGACAGTGGAACTGCTGGCCACCAGAAATCATGGGTGCTCTATCACTGGAGGTTTTCAAGAAGAGACTGGACTACTGCCATCGGTCAGAAATGGTGTAGGGTCTCCCGCTTGGGCGGGGGGTTGGGCTAGATGACCTCCAAGGTCCCTTCCAACTCCGCTCATCGACATCAATGGCTGCATATTTCAGCATCCGTCGCCCGAAGCGCCCCCCCACCCTGCAGATGGTCCACAAAAATCCTCCATCTTCCCTGACAGCTGTCAGTCTCCGGGGCAAGAGGGGGGACACACACCCCCGTAGAACCCGGGGGGGGGGGGGGGACGATGACGGACAGGCCCCCATCCTGGGACAAAGCACCCCATGCCGGGAAGCAAAAAAAAGGCCCCCCCCCCCCGCCCTTGGGGGAGAACTCTCTCTGATCGGAGGCTGCGTCCTATGGGCCCAGCGAGATCACCCCACCGCGGTTGCCGTGGCAACCGGCCTCAGCCCACCGCCTTGGAAGGCAGGCATGAATTCAAGAGATGGGATGGCGGGGGGGGGGGCGTGAG